AACCGATACAGGAGGCATTCAAACTTTAGATTCAATAGTATTACAGTTATTGAGCACATTCATACTTTTATCTCCCTCTTTATCAGATGAATGTTCAACGATCCAGATGCTGCTAACCCATATAACAAGTTCACCGTGTCATGCCTTTGGAAAGTTGATCAACAGCGCTTGTTTCCTTTGATCAATCAACAAAAGAGAGAACAAAGTCATTCTGATTCCAGATGATAAGAGAGGATGCAGACGCAAAACAAGGAGGGTGACGTGAAAGGATCAGTCCGACCTTTTGAGTTATGTGCTTGTTGCTTGTCAAACTCTTGTCATTTGAGGAAATTGCTCTTCGAAACCAAACGACATTCTGGATGTGGTTAGTCTCAAGCCTCATCAAGTCTAGATAGTAACCTGCAATTTGCAAAACTCGAGCAAAGGGTTGAGGTTTGGCATTGAATTTAAAAAGGTGGCATTAACGTTGATTGAGGGACAGCAAGTCTTGCAAAAGTCCTCTTCAGTTGAGCATAATTGTTCTGTTTGCTTTTTTCTGGAGTGTATCTCTTTCTAGAAAGACACTACCATCTGTAGCATAATGAAGTCACAAGAAGAAATACGGGGAATACTTATGTCCGCACCCAAAATCACGTTATACCGACCCTGGAGTTCTCAGATGATGGCGAAAGTATTAACTTAAGCTTCAGCCTGATAATAAGACTGATTTGCCGAACCCTAACCCTAACCCATCAGTCGTTTAACTTGACAATGGACAATTGACGAACACCAACATGTTCAATAATCTATCTTAACTCAAAGACTGCAAAAGGACACTCCTAGCCTAATTTGCATTCAACTGGATTTGGCGAACAAGCACAGTTACCAAATGTGTGTAATTAAATGAGTGAATGAGGCTGGGATATACACTATCAAACTCATCTGTACATCATGCTGTCTGATGACGTAACAAAATCAAAAGTGGTCAGAGTTGTTCAGAAAGGCTTCACTCAATGGCGTCAGTTCTCCTGGAAGACATTACCATTGTTGCACTTTGTGATGTGAAGAGTGACAGATATATTTGTGTCAAGAATGAAAAAAATAGATAGAGAAGGTCAAGTCAAACCCTCCTTTGTAACCCCAGCACAGGTGGATAATCACAGGTGGATAATCACAGGTGGATAATCACAGAAATGTTCAGACAATTTTCCCCCAAATTCGTTGCCAGGAAATGCATGGGTAGGTTTTTGAAGCTGATTGGAGTTTACCTTCACATGCTGTAAATGATGGAGTTGAAGAATGGAAAAGACAGTTTATGTAAATGTGAGCCTTTGCTTTAATGAGGAAAGTGTTCTTGGCAACATCTGCACAACGACAATCTGGTCCTTGTCCGGCTCTCTTCCTCACGACAGAAGGAGACTAGACACTTCACAGCGATGAGGAAACACTTGCTGACTGGATTCTTTTGCTGCTTCTACCTGGTCCATCTGTGCAGACACCAACTCAAACTCCACTTCCTAAAGGACTCCTACCAGCTACCCTTTAAAAAACCTTGACATCAAATCTCCAGAGTGTACTTTGTTTGACGCGTGTTTTTTTTATTCTGCTGTGCACTACAGGCCAAGTCATGATGCCCCACTTCTGTCAACGTTGCATTCGCCTCCTTTGTTCATGTTACGTCAGATTGGATCTCTCTTCTACCAGCTTTAGTTTATACACCACCTCAGAGACACTTCCTCATTCTCCTTTTCTTTGAGACGCATTTTTATTCCGCTGATTGTTGTGTGGATTCATTGGTTTATTTTTTTCACTTTCACTCTAACTTTAAGATTAACTTAGCACCAGGCTGAATAGGCTTTTGTGTGCTTTGTCCTTAAGGATACAGTATGTCATTGTTTTCTTAATCTCTTGCATATTGTATTAGCTTCGGCTAGCTACTTAAACTAACATAAGATCTTTAAGATTAAAAATGCTGTCTGACTGACTTTTCAATATTTCAAGGTGACTTAAATAATAATAACCCTCTTAAAGGTAGGGTAGGTAAGTTTGAGAAACCGGCTCGAGATACACTTGTTGTTATATTCCATGGAATGCTCTTAACATCCTGATAGCAATGAATATCTGAAGTGCTTTGACAAAAAATCCATAAATAAATATCATCTGTGGAAGCTGTAGTACTGTAAAAAGCACGACCAATCATCTGAGCCGGCCCGGCTAAAATAACTGGATGGCCTACCTGCCTGTCAGCCTTCCATCTGTGCACAAACTTATCTCGTGCCCTCATTGGTCATGTGCGCGTTCGTGTGTGTTGGAGGAGGGGCTCTGTGAGGAAGTGGCAGATTTTCTCCGGTTGTGTATTTTCAAATTCTAGCGCACTCGAGCTGGTTTCTCCAAAATTACCTACCCCACCTTTAATCTCTTGCATATTGTATTAGCTTCGGCTAGCTACTTAAACTAACATAAGATCTTTAAGATTAAAAATGCTGTCTGACTGACTTTTCAATGTTTCAAGGTGACTTAAATAATAATAACCCTCTTAAAGTGTTGAATGGTCTTAAATAAATTATATACGCCTGAATCTTCCACGGGGATAAATAAACCTCCATCTTATCTTAAATATGCCATGAGGGCTCATTACATGATATAGTAATAAAAGACATGTAACTAAAGACACCAATCTTTAAAAGCCAAATGTCCAAAATATAGCCAAAGCTGAATAGTACACACCCAGCTTTAACTATCTCTCAAATGGTCAATGATGTGTCCTCTTTACATCTGACAATTCCTGTTCTTTTTATTTATGTTCTTATTAATAGTGTAGATAAAGTGGTCCTTTTTCCTGTCCTATTATATCTCTACCTTTCCTGTCAGCTTTCTTTAATCGATTCTTTTATTCTCCTCCATTCTGTCTATTTCCCCTCACTTGTTTACGGGGAGAAGTGTCCGCTCAAGCCATCCCAAGAGGAACAGGTGACAAATTAGGGATGGGAAGTGGATCGAAGCCGAGCGCGAGGGAGAAGAGGTGATGCGGAGAGGAAGAGGGAGGATAACGGGAGTCTGAGGGCAGATATCATGAGAAAGAGGGGAAGCTAGAAGTGAGGAAACCAGGACGGCTAGAGGGATACATGAGAAATAGAGCATTGCAACAGAGGATGGAGAAAGTCATAAATGTGAAACAGAGCGGAGGAGGGATGGAGGAGGAAAGAAAGGGACAGAGTGAAACATGGATGTCAGGGCAGAGGGTTCGTGTGTTGGCAGAGCTGATGATTGAGATGGGAAAGTAATGGCTGTCTCTTTCAGCACAGGCCGGTATTTAAATACACAACGCAGTATATAAAACCCTGTGAGTGAATATGTGTGAGTGCAGTGATGATTAGCAGTCATCACAACCAGCGAGGCATTCAGACATTTGCTCATTATCTCTAATTTGGCTGCAAGTATGCTGAGTTCAGCTTTGCAGCGTTTCTCTGTCTGACTCTTTAGTGAACTCTGCAGGGGTTGGGGTCCAATGCATTGCAATGATGTGCAGAACAGATCGTAATTGAACAGGAAGCCCACAAAAAGATAATGAAGTTTTATCTTCAGCTGAATAATCCTTTAGTACTTCACATAAAGTCCTCAATGAGCTGGTAACTATGATTATGTAGGCAATGATTTGTCCTTTAATAATAGGGTGTCAGAATGTGCCGCACATAGTAATGATATATCCATTTGTTTTTGCTTCGATATATTAGGTTGCCATGTTTATCTTTTTGTCAACAAACTCCATGAAAAGACCAAAACCAAAAATGCGTGGCTGTCTTTCAATATTACGACTTTCCTAGTTGCTCTTTGGCCCCCAGCCCAAAGACAATTTGGTACTGAGTAAGGGAATCTTTAAAAACAGCTCACAAATGTTTAACACTAGAACCGCCAACGGGTCAATTTGACCTGCAGCTGTATTTTGATTGTATGTCACTTTTTTTCAATAAAATATTAAAGTCTCCCAGTCCGTGACTTTTCCTGAAAGTGTGTTATGTAGCACCCTCTGTTGTTAAAAATTGTCAATAAGAAGTCAGATTGAAATAATCGCCCAAAAAATTGCCATTTATACCTATATCCGCCAGCGCGTAATATTTACCTCATAGAAAATGCAGCATAAACATGACGTGTTGCTATAGCAACGCCTTTTGTCTACTGCGGTTCCTTATAGATAGAGAGATAGATAGATAGATGGATGGATGGATGGATGGATAGATAGATAGATAGATAGATAGATAGATAGATAGATAGATAGATAGATAGATAGATGGATGGATGGATGGATGGATGGATGGATAGATAGATAGATAGATAGATAGATAGAGAGAGAGAGAGAGAGAGAGAGATAGATAGATAGATAGATAGATAGATGGATGGATGGATGGATGGATGGATAGATGGATGGATGGATGGATGGATGGATGGATGGATGGATAGAGAGAGAGAGAGAGAGAGAGAGAGAGAGAGAGAGAGAGATAGATGGATGGATGGATGGATGGATGGATGGATGGATGGATGGATGGATGGATGGATAGATAGATAGATAGATAGATAGATAGATAGATAGATAGATAGATAGATAGATAGATAGATGAGATGGATGGATGGATGATAGATAGATAGGATAGATAGATAGATAGATAGATAGATAGATAGATAGATAGATAGATAGATAGATAGATAGATAGATAGATAGATAGAGAGAGAGAGAGAGAGAGAGATAGAGAGAGAGATGGAGAGATTTGTACCTAAACAAAACACAAGTCTAACACCAAGCGTTTAAATCAGCACTGGTAGCAATATGCTATACTTCATGCTATCTGCACAAACTATATCATGAAAAGCTGAGAGTCCACAGATTCTATTGGTATAAGTTTCATCCCTGTGCGATCACTGTTCTACATGATAAATAAAAGAACATTGTACCTTGAAAATCAATAGCGGGTAAATTTGACCCGTTGGCGGTTTTAGGTATACAGCGACCTCTGGCGGTTCTAGTGTTAAATAAAGCTCTGTAACTTCCTTTAATAGCTGGGCACTTACGTTTTTTAAAGCAAATGTGAGCTAAACTGAGTAAATAGTGACTATTTCCAGCTGCAGATTGATACACATTTCGCGAATCGGTTGGTTTCTACAGCATCAGGATGTCGTGAGATTGACTGAAAATAAACCGTGATTGATGAAGGAATGTGCAACAATATGATCATTGCTCATTGCTATGTTAGTCAAGGTCTTTAAACAACAATGGAGCATTATGACACACGGAAATAAGATGTGTTGGGCTTTGGCTAAGAAGTTGTTCTGTGGCATAAATTCATTGGTCTTTTCATAAAATGTTGACAAGAAGGAAAATATGGGATATCAACATTGGATGTGAATTGGTAGAAATATAAGATTTGATCTATTAGCTTGTTGACTACACATTCATGACAGTTTTGATTGGACGGCCAATTGAATGTGTTTCCCTCTATCTCTTCACAGCATTGCATGTTAATTCAAGATTCAGAAGGGGTCTCAGAGAAAATGGTTTACATAATAAAACAGTTTATCAGTATTCTCCTACAGTCTGGTTTCCATGCTGGTTTCAGGCCAACCACAATAAAAACTCAGCCAAACGTTGTGTATATTTCATTATAAATGATGTCTCAAATCCTTGCACATCCTACATATGGTGCTGACAATGCAGTGATGAACAACAAGGAAAGCTCAAAGATTGACACTGAGGTTAACTTACAATTTGTATTTGAAGTGAGACTGTGATGAAAGATTGCCTGGTCAAGCCTTGAACTTTATCTGAATGATGGATGTATTCAGACAGTGTCATCCAACTCATATAAGGACAGTATGGTGAGATTTGAAAAAACAAAGTGACAAGGCGTTAAGGTTACCTATCAGAAAGTAAGATGCATCATTTAACTGATGGCACAAGGCAGGAGACAAGACTCAACGTGCAATATTTCTGACCAAATAACATAATTATACCGCATTAAACTGGGATTGTGAGGGCTCAAACAATCACATTAGCAGGAGCACCAAACATCACTGTGCTTATTAGAGACAATCAAAGAAAGACAGGGAGATAGATGGGCTGCTACACAAAGGGCTGTTAAGACAGGAAGGAAGGAATGTAGATAGAAGGATAGAAAAAGTCTTGATGTTGTTTAGTTGTGTGCTGACTTTTACCTCAACCATCTGATTCAGGTGTTCCCAGGTGACACACTGTTCTGCCATGTCTGACCTTTGAAGCCAAACAAACAACAACCAGACTTCCATGTTTGATGATCCACTTCTGGGATTCGATGCCACTGATGAAAAGTACCCAGAACGTCTGAATCAAGCAGTTCTTGTTCAGAGGAGAATACATCCCCTCCATGCTTTGACAGTCACTTGTATGTGTTTATATCGACCAGAGTATAGGCTGCAGTCCAGTTTTGGTCACTCACAACAAATGTAAATGTAGGTTTGCCCTCTTCTGTTTCATCTCTGACTGTTCACATGTGTGTCCGTTGTTTCGGAAGAGTTCTTCATTATGTAAAGGAAGGGTTTCTGTAATGGTTTGTCGGTGCTTCAGTACGATGGCTTTCTGTTGGTCTCAGGGTCTGGAGGAAACACATTGACTGAACTTGATGAGAGACAAAGTACAGTAAAAGTTCAGATATAGTGAAGACTGGAAAGAAAAGTACATACAATGAGAAACATCTTAAAGGTCACCTATTATGCAAAATCCACTTGTTCATGTTTAACGATGTTTTGGCTTGTGTAACCATTAGCCAATCACCAACCAAGGTAATCCCCCCCCCCCCCCCCTTGTATATATCTGAGACCTATAATATATTGATGAAAAACAGTATAATAGGGGACCTTTAAAATGTATTATTACAAAATGACCTGTTAGCTGAACCCTGTTCCATTTACGTAGCTAGGCCTACTTCCCATTTCAGCACTCCAGAATCAGCAGTACAGGATGGTAATGGTGGCATATTGACTCCTCCACATTTGATTATTTTTTGATAAACAATGGGTTCTTGATTTCAGGCAGAGACAAAATCAGGCTTTTCAATTCCAGACGAGGACTGCCATTCCTTCGGCGGAAATGACTGTCATTAGCAGATCGGTATCAGCTGTATAGCTAGCTAATGAACTAGTCTGTGAGTTGGCTGACAAGTCTTTCTCCAACGTACTTATTGTATATAGTGGACTCGTTTTAAAACAAAAAGCGTCTCAGAGTTTCAAATATATGCTTCATGGCTACGTGATAAAATGCTACAAATATGCTTAAAGGTGGGGTAGGTAATTTTGGAGAAACCAGCTCGAGTGCGCAAGAATTTGAAAATACACAACCGGAAAAAATCTGTCACTTCCTCACAGAGCCCCTCCTCCAACACACACGAACGCGCACATGACCAATGAGGGCACGAGATAAGTTTGTGCACAGATGGAAGGCTGACAGGCAGGTAGGCCATCCAGTTATTTTAGCCGGGCCGGCTCAGATGATTGGTCGTGCTTTTTACAGTATTACGGCTTCCACAGATGACATTTTTTAATGGATTTTTTGTCAAAGCACTTCAGATATTCATTGCTATCGGGATGTTAAGAGCATTCCATGGAATATAACAAAAAGTGTACCTCGAGCCGGTTTCTCAAACTTACCTACCCCACCTTTAAGTTTAGAGCCCTGCCCATTTTTAAGACAGCCCATTATTCTGAAACGCCAAACCCCATTGGCTCAAATGCTTTTTTTCTGACAGCCTGTTAACCTCAAACGCACATTGCTCTGAAAATATATAGTTTTGCTGCAACAAAGCATGTGGCACTTCCTTCTAATTAGCTAGTACTCTTTGTATTGTTGGTTATAATGTGAACAACATAGGTCCAAGCACTGAGCCCTGTGGCACTCCATGGCTAACATTAGTTTGCATGGAAGATTCATTGTTGACACATACCAACTGAGACCGTTCAGATAGATCTAAGCCTAAAGCAGTTCCCTTTATGCCAACTAAGTGCTCTAGTCTTTGCAATAGGATGTCATGTCCTTTGTCTGAGGCTATGAGAAGGTCATTCCTCACCTGTCCTGAGGTTGGAGGAGTCGGTTATTGCACGAGGCTCTGCTGGTCTCAGACGTTGCTGCGCAGTATTCCCCCCCGTGGGTGCTCTGGAGTACTGCACTCTGAGGAGTTCTTGGCTTTGTCCTTGTTGTTGTTGGGCTCGTTGTCTTTGATGATGTCGTACTGGCGACAAAACAGGACTATCACCCCTGGGAGACAAATGGACATCATAATCAAACCGTGCATAAAAAGAGTGTACTAACAAGCGTCGGTATGTAACGAGCAAAAAATGACGATGGTTTGTCATGTTAAGTTATGGCTAGTTTGGGATACGTACTTATATTTATTTTAATTCAAAAAGCCCCGGAACAAGCAAGTAAGAATGGAAATATTTGCCAATTTGAACAGTAATTAAAGCTACTATGCTGCAGTAGTTTTTCTATTAAAAAAAAGTGATAGATTCTGACTGATAACATTTGGAAAATCTAAAATGGTTCTCTGTTGAATTACTTTGTCCCCATTTCGGTGAACACAAGGAAAAACCTTATTTCCAGCCCTATTCACCTCGATACAAAGCAACACATCTTCCATTAAGAGGTGTAGGAGGTGATTAGGTGTTCTTCTAATTCTCCATTTATTCAACCGTCTTTGAAATGTCAATAAAGCAGACCAAACTGAAGCGAGGGATATGAATAGGGTGAAACTCACACACGGAGATATGAACTCGATGACAAGATAGCCATGTGAGGCCTGCCTTCAGTGAAGGAGATTCAAGGGGGAGATAGATGCGAAGAGAGATAGATAACAAGCACAGAAAAAATAAGAAAGAGAATAATTCATGACGGTGGAGAAGCGGGAGGAACGGGCTTCAGTCTGGGCTGTTCTGCTTATATCAACCTCCATTCATCTGATCGCTACGATACCCAAGGCTAGGATTGGATACCTCACAGTGACATCCCCCAGAAAGCCTCATGGGCCCAATTAAAACCCAATTCACCTTCTTCATTTCCAGTCTTTGTCATCCCCCTGCCCTCCTTTTCCCTCCAACTCTCTTTGATTCTCAGCCTCTCTTTGCTCTCGTGGGTAATAGGCAAAGGGGATCCAGCCTGCTTGTTCTTACTGTATCTGCAACATACAGTATTCAGGCCATATTTGTATCTCATTAAACTTTGTTTAGTGGGTTGGAAGATATTTTACACAGCCGTGTGCATCTGTAGAACAGTGCTATGATGCACAAAAGGAGAACTGCAGCACAGCTAATGGCTGGGAGGCTGTGATAATAAGCAACCTCAGTCCTTTATCTTGTTGCAGGATACTGATGCAACAGTTTATTGGAATATCACGATGTAGTCTTTTTGCACTACTTTGTATTTTGTATTTGTGTTTTATTATATGTTGCATTGTTGGAGGAGCTCAGGTCAGAATAATTTCATTGCCATTTCTACACCGTAGCTTTGTGCATATGGCACTAAAACCTTTGAATCTTTTGAATGATAGAAATGTGACTTTACTTTTTTATCTATTTGCACTCTAGATGAAGGTCCCGAATATCTCCTTTGAAAGTAAAGCTTTTATATGGATAAAGTTATCCGTCTGACGTCAACATGTTTTTCTATCTTACATGTACATAGTTTACTTATTTCATCAACACATTCACGGTTGTATCACTAGCACTATTTCTTATTGCACTATTTTACTCTCTCATTTCTTTCTCTAGGTCTACTGTGTGTTGCACTGACGGCAGGGGCTGGGAATACGTTTTTGTGGCTCATGACAGACAAACCAAACCAATCTTTTGTTCTAGAACGGGCCTTTTGCTTTTGTATGTTGCCTAATGACCACCATAGTTCCAAGAGACGCTGCCCAGATGATGTTGCTCATAATTGCTAAAGTAGTTTTACGCTAGGAGAAGCCACTGAGTGAGGTGAAGGTCCTGAAAGATACCACGGTTTTGCACTTTGAGGCTTATTAACGCAGTGTTGTAACAGGAGGAGGGAGCCTCGGGGTAAACTGCTACACTGGATGCAACCAAATCCTACACTGTCTCTAACAATTACAATGTAAAGGCAATTTTATAGCCATTTAAAGGTCACCTATTATGCAAAACTAACTTTTTCATGTCTTTTATAAACATCTGGAAAGAGACTCTGAAAGTTTCAGGAAAAAAGATTTTCTCACTTTTTGTCCTGATTTCTATAAAAACCTGTCTGAAAATGAGCTGATCAGATTTTGGACACTTGATGATGTCATAACGATGTTTTGTCTTGTGTAACCATTAGCCAATCAGCAACCAAGGTAACCCCCCCCTCCACCTCATCACCTGAATCTCCTCCTAGAGCACCATTGAGTTCTTTGTAACCAAATGTCTCTCAGAGGGGCGTGGGGAGGGGCTCCTTATTTTCATCTAAAGTAACAGACAGAGAATCAGCACTTTGGAAACAGGGCTGAAACAGAGGGGATTATGGGTAATGCTGCAATGATCTGTTTGGTGTTTGGAGCCAAACACTTCAGAGACATGTTCTGTATATATCTGAGACCTATAATATATTGATGAAAAACAGTATAATAGGGGACCTTTAAAGATGAAAAAAGCTACTTCAATTTACAAACCTACTATAGGTTTAACCTCAGAACCTAAAATAAAGTGTTTTATTATCAAATTACTTCTTCAATGTAGAAAAAGCATCTATTACATACATCCTAAATCTCAAACTGTGATTGCAGTTTCCTCCCGAAAACACTTTTCTGTCTATTTCAACCTGGTGCTGGTCACAAAAAAAAGCTTTCATCATCCTGAAAGCACTGCAGTTAGTCTCTTCATATAACCTCAGTCAGATGCGTGTTTGCCCCAGAGACAGTGGAGTCCTTAAAGGGCTGCAGTGAAGAATGTGTGTCGCTGAAGAGGAAGATTACCTGCCCACATGATGAGCACCACAACAATGATGATGAGTTCTCCAGCCCTCAGCTGAGCATCCTGACCAACCTCCTCCATTGTCACCTCATCTGGGGAGAAAACAAACACACTCAGAGTCAACAAAGTGCCTCTGAGGACGCTGCGATTTATTGTACCAGAGAGTGAAAGTGAAATTGCCACCTCTCTGAAACTCTGCAGGGAAAGATAAAAGAATAGAGCAGGGCGACAGGAGAGCAGAGAGGTGTTCATTTCCCTTTGTGGCCAGTGTAATTAAAGTTAAGTGAGAGCAGCGGCCTCCAGAGACAGAGGGCTGCATCACAAACCCCATCACTCTTTGTGCTTCTCCGTCTGACAGGAAGCTGGCACCAGTCACAGGGCTCAAGGTTTGAACACAGTCCGAACCATAACTCTCTGAAGCCTGGTGCTAGCCCAAAAAGACCCTGGGCAAAATGATAATTTCCTGCAGTTGTGAATATGGCATGAACACATCAGATAGATAGATTCCTTTATTGTCACTACACAGAGTACAGCGAAATTCCAAGCATTCCCAATGGTGCAATCACACATAACAGACAGTATAAGTATCGTTTGACAATACAAGCTAAAGACTTTGAATATATACTATATAAAGTGACTACAAATTGGACCTATGATGCATAGAACAGTACGCTTACAGAACAATACAACATTACCATACAAATACAAATACAAGACAAATACGGTCAAGGCAGTAAAAAAATGTAAACAAGTCAATAAATAAGTTATTGTACTTTACATTATTAGAGGGGTCTATAGAACCCACTAGTTTTGAGGGGCCTTTTTGACTGTATTTTGCTTACAGCTGGAGTGTTTAGATTGCCACTGCTACTAAAATCTCAAAGCAATGAAATAACCATTTTGCAGTAATATAAATATAAGAGGGTATAACATTGCATTTTGTTACATTACATTTAGAAGTGAAGAAACATAAATGTAATACTGTATTTCATTAAAAAAGGGGTCAGATTTTCATGGAGACAGGGCTCATTAACTATTACTGGCTTACTTGTTAAGAAGCTTTTGATAAACCGTGCATACAATTCCTAAATATCTCCAGAAGGGGGTGGTCTCAACGAAGTGACAAAATCCAGGTTTGAGAAGTGAAGCCAATGAGAAGTGTCTTAAACCTGCATTATTTCTAATGGCCAGCAGGGGGCAACTCCACTGCTTGCAAAAAGAAGATGGATTCTAGAGAAGTCTGTAGGCGCTTTCACACCGGAGTACTTTTCCCAGTATAGTTCCGATATAGTTCCGAAAATGTGCGTTCACACCAAAAAAATCCGGAACTAGAACTTAGTTCATGAACCTTTCCACCCCCTTTTCAGTCCCTGCTAGAGAGCAGGTACTTTCGTGGGAGAAAAGGGTTCCCATTTCTGATTGGCTGGGCGGATTGCAAACCACGCCCCGTAAAACTCCCAAAAAGTTTGTGAAGCCGCCATTTTATTTGCTCGCATTAGCATTATTAGCATTAGCATTAGCCCAGCGCACAAACGCAGAGAGACTAACTTATGGCAACACAAAATAAAACGTGGGAGTGGTGGAGATGAGGAGGTGTCGGCGTTCTGGCGATTTCCTCTGAAGGCTTCAGTAGAAGCTGCTGGGAGTCCCAGCAGCTTCTACTGAAGCCTTCCCCAACTCCGGGGACTTCCGGCCGGGGACTCCGGGTGGCAGGATACGCCGTGAAGTGGTTTGCGGCCTGCCAGTAAACCAAAAGCAGAAGAAGAAGAAGTGACGTCAGCGGCTTCATTTGCGTAATCCTCCCTCAGGGACTTATTCCGGTGTGAACGCGATCTGTACTTAGTTCATGAGAACTAAAGAGTTCTGATGAACTAAGTTCTGATGAACTAAGTACGGCAAAGTACTTGGTGTGAAAGCGCCTAATGAGAAAATGACCCTACTTCTTACTGGATTGATTAGCTCAGTAATCATTTCCCTAATGAGTTAATGGTCTCAAACACTACTTTTAAGTCTTTCCCAATAAAGCATGATGTTGATTTTGAACTATGTTCCGATTCAGAGGAAATCAGACGATAAAGCAAAGTATGATTAAGGAAAAGGCTACCTTGTGATTGACAGGTAATTTTACGTTTTTGACCCTTTCACAGTATGTGATTTAACAATTTGATGGCCTAAGAATGTCTTGCAAAGAGTTTGGTTGTACTTACAGTATCTCTTCTCTTTTGTGGTTGTGGACGACTTGTGGTTAAAAAAGCCGTCCACAAACCCATAGGCGGCTACCTCCACTTCTTTTATAGTGTATGTTTGAACTCAAAGCCAAGGGTAATTAATGGTCAAGAACAACACAAACAAACCATTGAAGCATTCCAAAGAAGCTTAATGTGTTTTTAGGTAAAGTAGGTAAGTATTTAGAGGTTCAAGATCATTTTCCAGAAGTGAGGATAAGCTTGTTCAAAGTCATATTTGCCAACTTGAAAAAAAAGAAGCACAGACATAACTCTATGGGCAGGGTGAAGAGCGTGATGATCATCCTCCTGCTTCCATTACGAGTTTGAGGGAAATCGTTTTTCTATGCTCACAAGTCTCCTGTTGCCATGGTGAACCCTCTTAGCTGAATACATGTTTCTGATGTGAGAGCAGACCATCCCTGAATAAGATATGTTTGGGTTGTGTCGTCTTGTATCTGTAAGTCTACTTCTCTCTGCACGTTGTCCCTTCAGACTGAACAACAGCGAAATACTTTCAAATGAACGCTCAACAGACCTCAGTCTATCTTACAGGTAATATAAAAGTATGCTTGGATGAGGGTGCCAATTACAGAGTAGCCTGCTGGAGCATGGCTTCCCTTAATGAGGCTTGAGCTCATGGTTTGTGAAGTGTTGGTGTGTCTCTAACATCTAACATTATCAAAATAGGCTATTTTTGCAATGCATTTCAAATGTTCTGTATGTCTGGCATCATGGATCATGCATACATTTATATTACATATGTATTTATTGTTCATGCCATATGTGAGAGAGTTCCAACTTTGTTCCTACTCTCACCTATGGTCAGTTTTGGGATGACCGAAAGAACTGGATTGGGAATACAAGTGGTCGCATTGGGTTTCTCAGTTGGGTGGCTGGCATCAATGTTACGGCCCCTACGCACGGCGGCGTGCGTTGAAGCTTGCCGGCGGGCGTGTCTGACGCTCGACCAACAACCGATCACATGAATCTCCCGCCCCGGACACACAAGCAGCGGTTTGATTGGCTAGAGCTTGTACTGGCATATGACTCGATTGGCTGACGCTTCCGTTGAAGCTTCAAAAGTAGAACATTGCTCTACTTTTGAAGCGAGCAATTGTACACTTTGCTCCCACAATGCAGTTCGGCGAAGCGTGACGTCTCCCCATTCAACGCACGCCGCCGTGTGTTGGGGCCGTTAGAGATAAGGTGAGGAGTTCAGTCATCCAGGAGGGACTTTGAGTTCAGCCTTTGCTCCTTAGCATAGAAAGGAGCCACTGAGGTTTGCTGGGAAGAGATGGAGGGGCAGACCCAGGACCAGTTGGAGGAATTATAACTCGGAATAACTTGGAATCGCCCAGTCAGAGTTTGTTGATGTGGCAGGGAAAGAGAAGTTTGGGACTCCGGGTAAGAGGTTGGTAATGAATGGATGGATGGATTATTCATGCATGAGGGATAGGTGCAATAAAATATGTATAACCTTATAACAGTATTTACCGTACCTGACAGGCGCAATCATTAAAAGTGGCTTTAATTAGAGGATAATCAAATTATTAGAACTTGAGTTAAACCTGAGGCTAAAACAAACTCCAATGAGTCAAATACACCTGTCCACAAGCCTGGCCCTATTTTCTTTGTTCTATGTAGAAAACGTCAAGCAAAACTCCATAAGAAGTAATTCATGCTTCTACAATTCCCGACTTCAAGCTTGTGTTAGGAAGACAAATACCATTGCACCTGTACTGGGAAAACCCTGTGGTTGTTCTGGTCTAAACTGAATACTGCAAGCAGGCTGCTGCACCGCTGTCAGAGATACATTAAAGGCATAAACAGCTCTGATACTGTAGCAAGGAGGGCGTGCAATGTGTTACTGCTGGGAAAGATTGATTTACAAGAACTGCAGATTTTGCAGCTCCTTGTATAACGTAATAACCAACACTACACATCAACACTACACATCAACACTACACATCAACACTACACATCATATTCACTACATGATAAAAACTTTAGATTTTTTTGCAATGTTTTGTTATATTGGCATATGAGTTCCAGACTGGAAGCCAGGCAGATACAGAGAACGATCACCAGACAGAGAGGAGCACAGATTGTGTGTTGTGTTGCATTGTGTCTGCAGACACTAAATGGGGTCAGGCTGATTAATACCCGCTTAGAAGGGGAAGGGTAGCATTAATGGCTAGGAGATTTAATCAGCACCGCTAATGAATGCTTCCATAAACACACATATACACACAAAACTTGCTAAAGGAGAAAACAAAACAAGTCAGTCCCTTAACATCGGGACAAATCGTCCAACTAAACACGCAAAACGCCGCTATCGTAGCAGCTATTTCATACGAGTATCAAGTCGGAAAATTGTTATTGTTTCTTAAAGAGGCCCTTTCATGCTTTCCCTACAGTAGGTATAAGAATTTGTTATTCATTGATTTTCCTGGCTAAATAAAGGTTCTACTACTACTACTACTTGTGTGCATGTAAATGGTCTCCAAAGGCTAAAATCCCAACGTCTCTCCAACACACTCCCCTTCTGCCTGAAACGCCTTCAATGGACTCCTTTGTTTACATCTGTAACATAGTGACATCACTGTGTAACACTTCTATTGGCTAGCGCTCAATCACATTGTACGTGATAGGCTAAGGGGCGGGACATCTTTAAGCCTTTGACCAATCACAACAGAGCCGGCCAGCTAACCAATCAGAGCAGACTGGGCTCTGGTTTCAGACAGAGGGTGAAAAGAGAAAACTTAAAGACATAATAACCTACAATTTCAACTGTGCTTAATTACACAATAGAAAACAATACGAACAAAAACACACAAGGGTGTTCGATATTTTTAAATACAATATTTATCTCCTACAGATTTACACTGAATGCTTTTAAAGAAATGACAGAACAAAGCGTATTCCCTATCAGTTCAATACAGCCTTTTAGTTTTCGACAAGCCAGCACACAGGGGTGTTTTTAGGAACCGCTTCTCCTTAATGTCTTCTCCTGTTTCCTTATCACTTTGCTGCTGATGAGCATTTCCTGTGTCCTCTGAAGCAGCTGCTCCACTGTAACTGGGCCGTTCCAGATAACAGCCGTCTGCACTCCAGAATCAGAACAATGAGATGGGAGATGTTGTCGGGGTTCTCACAAAGACAGCCATTTCTGCATTTAGCTTGTATTACATTGTCAAATCACCTTGTTGTTGTTGTTGTGATGAAGCATGGTTACACAGATATAACAGTTGGATGACTTTATGCCTGCATTTCCATGAAAGGCAGTATTTTGCTCTTCTGTGTTAGCGCATGGTTGCTTCTGTTCCCGTGTGCTTTTCTACTAACGTTGGTGTGCTTTTGCAGCTATTAAACTTGCATCATCTCCCCGCCTGTGTATGTGTTTGAAGCATCTGCTCTGCACGAGATAAAACTCACACTGTTGGTTTCAGGCTCAGTTTGTTTTTGACTTCGATCGAATTTCACAAAATATGCATGAAATGTTGCTGAAAGGCTTTTTGCACCAAAGAATTCTTTCCGTAACAGTAAATGGAGACATAATTATGGACAATTTAGCAAGCTTTTTAAGTGCCAGCATCCCTTTACCAGAGAGGGCAAAAGTACACACATCCTTTACTCAAGTAGAAGTACAGGTGTTTAAAAATACTCTGGTAAAAGTAGAAGTACTGACTAAACTTCTTTACTGAAGTGAAAGTAAAGAGGCTTTGAAATGTACTTCAGTACAAAGTACCCATAACTAGCAGCTGTTTTAAAGAGTACCTGACCTCCCTTTATATTAATAGAACAATAATGTCATTGTTAGCTAATGAATGTTTCCATGCTGAACAACGGCAACATGACAACGTTTTCATTGGTCCCTCTTCTTTAGAGAAGACCAGGAAATGATGGATACACGGATCGTGTTCAAATCAATAGGCACGCAATGACTCTAAATAATAATGATCACGCCACCAAACACACATTCAAACTAAAGGAACCAGCCTGTTTGGGAAATGTGAGAAGTAGAAAGTACAGGTATTTGTGTTCAACATGTAAGAAGTAGAAAGTACAGGTATTTGGGTTCAACATGTAAGAAGTAGAAAGTACAGGTATTTGGGTTCAACATGTAAGAAGTAGAAAGTACAGGTATTTGTGTTCAACATGTAAGAAGTAGAAAGTACAGGTATTTGGGTTCAACATGTAAGAAGTAGAAAGTACAGGTATTTGTGTTCAAAATGTAAGAAGTAGAAAGTACAGGTATTTGGGTTCAAAATGTAAGAAGTAGAAAGTACAGGTATTTGTGTTCAACATGTAAGAAGTAGAAAGTACAGGTATTTGTGTTCAACATGTAAGAAGTAGAAAGTACAGGTATTTGGGTTCAACATGTAAGAAGTAGAAAGTACAGGTATTAGTGTTCAACATGTAAGAAGTAGAAAGTACAGGTATTTGTGTTCAACATGTAAGAAGTAGAAAGTACAGGTATTTGTGTTCAACATGTAAGAAGTAGAAAGTACAGGTATTTGGGTTCAACATGTAAGAAGTAGAAAGTACAGGTATTTGAGTTCAACATGTAAGAAGTAGAAAGTACAGGTATTTGGGTTCAACATGTAAGAAGTAGAAAGTACAGGTATTTGTGTTCAACATGTAAGAAGTAGAAAGTACAGGTATTTGTGTTCAACATGTAAGAAGTAGAAAGTACAGGTATTTGTGTTCAAAATGTAAGAAGTCAAAGTAAAAAGTCATCAGAAAAATAAGAAGTGGAGTAAAGTACTGATACCAGAAGAATGTACTTAAGTACAGTAACGAAGTATTTGTACTCCACTACTTCCCACTTCTGCCCTTAACATTCATTTAATGCTTAGATGTTGTGTAGACCTTTTGACTACAGGTAACTTCAGAGATAAACAGGTACAAAGTGAAGAAGTGTGTTCTGGTCCCTCACCTGGGCTTTTGGACGCCTGCTTCTCCGACTCTTTGGGCGTTCTGAAGAGGACGGGCTCACTAGGGGGGCTGCTGCCTCCCATGCTGATGCTCTGAACATGGACGATGTACTCCGTGTCCTCATCCAGATCCCACAGAGCACAGGAGCGCGTGGTGGTGTTGACTTCCTGGATGAACCTCAGCATGCGTCCATCCTTCTTCTGCAGAAAGGCAGGGAACAGAAGGGCAGAGGAAGAGTAATCAGGGCCAGCGCACTCGTTGTAATGTTTAATTTTTGGTCTCTGTAGAGAGAAATCCTCTTTTCTTTGGCAGCAACTCAGCAGAGAAGTCACAGGTCAGGGTTATACTGGTGCATCAAGCACACGTTCTGATATACTGAGGAGCAATATCTGCAATCAAGCTCTGCATTACTTGAACTTAAGTCACAGGTTCAGCTCCTTCAAGGCATTATAAAACTGTTTTTCCACTACCTTGCATATCAAATGTAGATTTCTGAAGCCAGGGTCTGTCTGCTGTCGACAGAAGCTGCCCTCCGGTGACGGACTGATAAGGTGCAAATGCAAACACGCCTCTCTTGGATAACAGCTAACAGTTAAAAGCTGAATAAAGCCCCAGGGGAATTGTTCTGCAGTGTAACTAAGAGAAGGGAAACAGAGTGTGTCTCTGGCCGTGGAGCTCTGCTTGAAATGAACATTATTACCCAGCTACTGCTTGCTCAGGTCAACTGGATCCTGATAGACCAAAGGAAATGTCCTTCTGGGCTTTTTTAATTAACGAAGAATTCTTCTAATGGAACATTTGTACATTTAGAAAGTATCCACAACTTGTTGGCCTCATTATTTGGTCTGTGTCTATTTCATTTCAACCAGGGCTATTCAAAGGCCTACATCCCCTCACTGTGATAGGACACACTGGACCCTATTGATGGAAGAAACATAATATTGTAGTGCAACATGAAACATTTAATTTATGCATTTTTGTCACAATATTATTATTTTTTCTCTTACTTAGTTACTTCGCTTATTTGGGGGGTGATCATGCTCTATGTTTTGGAACTCAAGATCCCAGAATACTTTGGGGGATGGAAGCAGAAATATGATGTGGGTTCAGTTTGAGGGCTTCAATTACACAGAGCCGTTTATTTAGCTAATATGTCTTAACATTAACATTTTTGGTTAATTGGTGACATTCAAAGTATGCTGAATTGTCTATTAATTTAAAAGGTCATCTTTCACTGGATTACATGATGTCCTAAGTTATAAGGAGCATGTTCTCTCTTCTATGATAAGTAAGCTAACTGATAAAAGAAGACATGTCTCCATGCTTTAATGTTCAAACAGCTCTTTATTTTTCTCACACTGCCTGTGCTGCAGCACCTCTTCTCACCCTCTGTCTGAAACCAGAGCCCAGTCTGCTCTGATTGGTTAGCTGGCCGGCTCTGTTGTGATTGGTCAACCAGTTGTCATCTGGTTGACCAACCAGATGACAACTGGTTGACCAATCACAACATCCTGCCTCTTAGCCTTTCACATACAATGTGTTGGAGCGCTAGCCAATAGGAGCGCGAGTGTTAGATAGTGATGTCATTAGGAGAGAAACTCCCTCTGGCGGGAACTTTGGGATTTTAGACTTTATAGACCACTGACATGCACAAAAACCAATATAACACCCAACAGCATAATAGGACCTCTTAACTTAATTAATCACCTTAAAGTTAATCTTAACTAATGTTTTTTTTAATGTACCTTAATATCTCTCCTGAGCTCTGTTTCACGACCACTGCCCTCCCTTTCCTCTCATGCTGTTTCTTTGCTTCATCCTCAAACTTTCTGTCACATGACGGACACATGTACCTGTTGGGTGATGGCGAATCCAATGACAGGGTCCCCCTCCGAGATCTCCCACGTGACCATGGCGGAGTTTACCTCAATGTCTGTGATGGTCACATTGAGTGGAGCTGACAGCAGGGTGTCTGACACACACACACGCAAACACACACACACGCACACGCACACACACACACACACACGCACACACACACACACACACACACACACACACACACACCACACACACACACACACACACGCACACACACACACACACACACACACACACACACAGACACGCAGCATGGCCACAGGAGGAGACAGGTCATTAATATTCTGCCATCACACCTTGTAATGGAGGATGATGGAGGAGATGCTAAAATGTGCACCTGAAGACACACTTCTCCTCTTCATCTCTCTTTGAACTTGTTCTCCTCTTACTCTTTAGCCCCGCCTCCTCTTACTCTTTAGCCCCGCCTCCTCTTAAATCTCCTCTTCACCTCCTACAGATTAATCTCTCTGCTTTCATTAATACCAGGCCTCACTAACCACACACAGGTCTCTTGGTGTTCTCTTTCTCATCTGATTTCTTCACACACACACACACACACACACACACACACACACACACACACACACACACACACACACACACACACACACACACACACACACCATTTCCTATCTTTACCTCCCTCTCTCCTCTCGCTTTTCTCTCTCCCACGCACATCTCATTAGAGTGTGACTCTTGGGGATATATTGGGCTGAAAAAAAGAACCTCACATCCCAGAATGCAATGCGATTTTCAGTTGATCAGGAGATTAAGTATAATTGATTAAATTACCGACTCGCTCACTCACTTTCTCCCTCATTAACTGTAAAGGGAGCACAGAGTGGAGAAGAAACACTGATTGGTATTGTGTGTGTGTGTGTGTGTGTGTGTGTGTGTGTGTGTGTGTGTGTGTGTGTGTGTGTGTGTGTGTGTGTGTGTGTGTGTGTGTGTGTGTGTGTGTGTGTGTGTGTGTGTGTGTGTGTGTGTGTGTGTGTGTGTGTGTGTGTGTGTGTGTGTGTGTGTGTGTGAGACAAAGAATTGGTGTTAGCTGAGAGCATCCCAAGGCCTCCTATGAACAAAGCTAGGGTTTAATTGTCCATGATGCTGACTTCTTAAAGCAACATGGGAGAAAGAAAGCAGCAGAACACACACATGCCTCCTCGCATGCACACACACATTCGCCTGGGATTTTTCAGTGCTCTAAAATAGGACAAGCACATATATACAGAAAGCACTTCATAAACTGATTGCACTTTTAACTGCCCACGTAACATTCATAAGACAGACAAAGTAGCGGCTATCAGATCAACTATAAATCTGATTTTTACCTTTAGGAGTTGGTAGAGAGCAAAACAGATTTAGAAAGACATGAATAATTACCCTACATTCATCAGGGGGCGAGAAAAACAACTCCAAATGAATGCTGAATATGTAAATCGGTAACTGTTTGCTATGTTCTCCATCAACTTTATTAGGTGATAATCGATAATGAGGTTTTTACAACTAGTTTCTGTTGCCCCCAGGTGGCAAACAAATCACTTATTGCACGTTTAAAATATATTAAGCAGAACCTCCACTCGAAGGGTAACATTAGCAAAACTAGATTAGAGTCATTAAGTTGGAAAAATGACTTGTGAATTCATGGAAAATGGATTGCAGCCGAGGTCTGATTCACAACCAATACTGCACTAATGATATTACAATACTAACACGCCCATAGGGGTGCAATTGACTTTGTGGGTGCTTTGAGAATAACCTGGTTCATTATTGTTTTATTGTGTAGGATTTTTGCACTTTTGTTAAATCCTTTTGGGAAATTACCCAAATCAGTAGTTTGAGGTTCAGGGGATGCCCTTAAAAAAAAGAACTAACACTTAAAGGTGGGGTAGGTGAGTTTGAGAAACCGGCTCGAGATACACTTTTTGTTATATTCCATGGAATGCTCTTAACATCCCGATAGCAATGAATATCTGAAGTGCTTTGACAACAAATACATAAATAAATATCATCAGTGGAAGCCGTAGTACTGTAAAAAGCACGACCAATCATCTGAGCCGGCCCGGCTCAAATAACTGGATGGCCTACCTGCCTGTCAGCCTTCCATCTGTGCACAAACTTATCTCGTGCCCTCATTGGTCATGTGCGCGTTCGTGTGTGTTGGAGGAGGGGCTCTGTGAGGAAGTGGCAGATTTTTTCCGGTTGTGTATTTTCAAATTCTAGCGCACTCGAGCCGGTTTCTCCAAAATGACCTACCCCACCTTTAAGTCCTAGGACAGCTAGTAAGTTGACGTTAAATGTGTGGTTGTGGTATTGAAAGGCAGTTGCATTTCCTTTATCAACAACCTTTCTTCCTAATTATGGTGTACAGCTTCTACACATTACATCAGACGGCTTAGTGTCATTATTATCTGCTTGTTGCCCATTGAATATTTATTTATACATTACATATTTATCTCGGTTTAGTGGCACATTTGAAATCAAAAGGGAGAGCAAATCCCATGCACAGAAATGAAGGATTGTCCATAAATTAATACTATATTGATATTGTGATATAAGACTAGATATCAACCTGTATTTTGGGATATTGTAATATAGCATAAATGTTGTCTTTTCCCCTTTGTAAACACTGCTTACATTAAAGTGATGTAGTTTTCTAATATGTATTATTCATCTTTACTCACTAAGTCATTCATCATATTTTTATTATCATTATTTATATTTATCTATCAAAAATATCATTTTGTGAATATGTTATGAAAGCACAAATACCTACAATATAGTGGCAATATCGTTGTCCATGTATATGGTAAAAGATATCATGATATTTGATGAAGACCTAACAGAAATATATTTGTAGACTTTGCTAACGTTAGCCGCTAAAGACTCCTGGCTTCCACATGTTACCGTCTGCTCTCCATTAACGAGTCTGTGTCTCAGTGTGATCCCATCATGCTCCTCTGTCCTCCCCTCCTCTCCTCCTCCTGTCTCCCCTCCTCTCTGTCTCCCCTCCTCTCTGTCTCCCCTCCTCTCTGTCTCCCCTCCTCTCTGTCTCTCCTTCTCTCTGTCTCCCCTCCTCTCTGTCTCCCCTCCTCTCTGTCTCCCCTCCTCTCTGTCTCCCCTCCTCTCTGTCTCTCCTTCTCTCTGTCTCCCCTCCTCTCTGTCTCCCCTCCTCTCTGTCTCCCCTCCTCTCTGTCTCCCCTCCTCTCTGTCTCCCCTCCTCTCTGTCTCCCCTCCTCTCTGTCTCTCCTTCTCTCTGTCTCCCCTCCTCTCTGTCTCCCCTCCTCTCTGTCTCCCCTCCTCTCTGTCTCCCCTCTCTGTCTCCCCTCCTCTCTGTCTCCCCTCCTCTCTGTCTCCCCTCCTCTCTGTCTCCCCTCCTCTCTGTCTCCCCTCCTCTCTGTCTCCCCTCCTCTCTGTCTCCCTCCTCTCTGTCTCCCCTCTCTGTCTCCCCTCCTCTCTGTCTCCCCTCCTCTCTGTTTACCCGCCAGATTACAAGCAGGAACTGCAGTCTGGCACGTTTTGCAAATTAGATTGTCACATTGTCACACTTCTGCAAATATTGCAGACACCCGGCCTCAGACAACTGCTCCCAGACTCAAATAATGGTATTACAGGAAGAAGAATGTACTCTGTGTGTCGCTGCCCAATGCTAACACAATCACAGCAGAGAAAGCTGGACTGTTACATGTGTTGGCAAATGACATGTTTTAGTAGGGGGCCAAACTCTTTCAGTTGGGCTCCCTAAGGCTGTGTTTGTGGATGCAGAGTATGTGTGTGATACATTGCTATGACTCCCTGTTTGACTAGCTTTATATCTCCCAGCACTTGCACACACCCACAGAAACAACACACCAGCAGAGAGGGGTTCCCATCCATTCTTAAGGCAATTTGCTGCCAAAGAGCTAAGGGCTGGCGGCAGAATCCCAAAACCACATTTCATCTCCAGATTCAGGAAGCCAAAATTCTGTGGAGGTGAGATAAATCCCACATGATCTTATCGCCAGGATTTGGGCTTTTCAAAGGCCTATCTGTCATCTCTCAGCGGGACGCAGTGTAACCAAGATCTTACGAAGGGGATGAATGCTCTTCTTGCTGTGAGACGCTGCAGGTAAAACATATGCAACAGCATGAGAGATAGATGAGGAACCATGCATAATATACCATGATTAGATCTGTGCTGAATGTAGGGGTCTGAATGGGGAAAGCTCATCCTCGTTAAATTCAATACTGTGTCATATTGCTTCAGGGCTTTGGTGGTTGTTGAAGCTGAGGGATTTTGGACAAGGAAACACAGATTGTTGTCTTGATAAATCGAGAAGGTGTCAGCTTTAAATGTCTTGTTTTTCAACCAAGAGTCTGAGAGCCAAGTATATTCAATTATGTAAGGCTAATGCTGGATTATACAACTATGCCTTATACTTTATTTGCTTATCCTATGATAGACTTGACGCCGATCATTTTTACGTTGAGTAATCGTACAACCTTATATTTCTTACGTTATCTGATTTTCGTACGATACAATGGACATAACTTGGTTCAATTCTACATTTTTTTGAATATTTTGACATTGCAATTCCAATTAAAAAAGTATATTGGTTTAGGGTTAGTGTTAGGTTTAGAGTTAGGGTTAGTGTTAGGGTTAGGGTTAGTGTTAGGGTTAGGGTTAGTGTTAGGGTTAGAGTTAGTGTTAGGGTTAGAGTTAGGGTTAGTGTTAGGTTTAGAGTTAGGGTTAGGGTTAGTGTTAGTGTTAGTGTTAGGGTTAGGGTTAGTGTTAGGGTTAGGGTTAGTGTTAGGGTTAGGGTTAGGGTTAGGGTTAGTGTGCACCTGGATAATTATGCTAAGTATCATAAGTGGTTAGAGTTAGGGTTAGAGTTAGGGTTAGTGTTAGGGTTAGAGTTAGGGTTAGTGTTAGGGTTAGTGTTAGGGTTAGTGTTAGGGTTAGTGTTAGGGTTAGGGTTTAGGGTTAGGGTTAGGGTTAGTGTTAGGGTTAGTGTTAGGGTTAGGGTTAGTGTTAGTGTTAGGGTTAGGGTTAGGGTTAGGGTTAGGGTTAGGGTTAGTGTTAGGGTTAGTGTTAGGGTTAGGGTTAGTGTTAGTGTTAGGGTTAGGGTTAGGGTTAGGGTTAGTGTGCACCTGGATAATTATGCTAAGTATCATAAGTGGTTAGTGTTAGGGTTAGTGTTAGGGTTAGAGTTAGGGTTAGTGTTAGGGTTAGTGTTAGGGTTAGTGTTAGTGTTAGGGTTAGGGTTAGGGTTAGGGTTAGTGTTAGGGTTAGTGTTAGGGTTAGGGTTAGTGTTAGTGTTAGGGTTAGGGTTAGGGTTAGTGTTAGGGTTAGGGTTAGGGTTAGTGTTAGGGTTAGGGTTAGTGTTAGTGTTAGGGTTAGGGTTAGGGTTAGGGTTAGTGTGCACCTGGATAATTATGCTAAGTATCATAAGTGGTTAGAGTTAGGGTTAGGGTTAGTGTTAGGGTTAGGGTTAGTGTTAGGGTTAGGGTTAGGGTTAGTGTTAGGGGTTAGGGTTAGGGTTAGTGTTAGGGTTAGGGTTAGTGTTAGTGTTAGGGTTAGGGTTAGGGTTAGGGTTAGTGTGCACCTGGATAATTATGCTAAGTATCATAAGTGGTTTAGAGTTAGGGTTAGGGTTAGTGTTAGGGTTAGGGTTAGTGTTAGGGTTAGGGTTAGGGTTAGGGTTAGGGTTAGTGTGCACCTGGATAATTATGCTAAGTATCATAAGTGGTTAGAGTTAGGGTTAGGGTTAGGGTTAGGGTTAGTGTGCACCTGGATAATTATGCTAAGTATCATAAGTGGCATAAAAAGGTCCAGAAATTATTTTATTGTAATTATTGCTGGGATAATAAACATACATTAACAAACATAATTAACATGAAAGGCCTGTAGGTTGAACCTTTACATGTTTGGCATAAATGACTAGGAAGGTTAATCGATTTTCAAAATAAGTACAGGTAATTTTTCAGACAATCAAACAAATCAATAAAGCAAAAAAGCAACACATTTGTTCACCTTTGTGTAGTTTTAGCACCCTGTTATCTTTATTTAAGTGCACATTTGCCAATTCTTTCAAGAACTTTAATCAACCAATCACAATGAGGGCTACAACAAAGATGGTCTATCAAAATGACCAGTGTTTCCAGAAATATTCTCCAAACTGAGGAGGAAAACTTGCAAATAAAGCATATTAGCCGATAAGTCATGACACAGTACGAGACTAACTTGTGTCAGCCATGTTTAGCCTTTGCAAAGCTTATTGCCTTTAGCTGATGCAAATGTAGAAGCTGACACATCCATAACAATGTCACACATCAGCTGCACTTTACATGCATGATCAGACAGCTGTGGTCATACACCAATACTCCACGGCACATGTGTTGGTCACAATGATCGCCCATCAACCTGTGGTGAAACTCACCGGCATGAACGGAGGAGAGGCAGCCCAGCAGGAGCAGCAGCCCCGCCGCACACGATCTGGGTTTAGCCTCCATCCTGCTGCTTCTTCTGGCGAGGCTTCACATCCTGCGCGGCCCATTTATAACATCACATTTAACGGGAAGGAGCGAGCGAGCATCCCGGTGCCGGAGAGAGGACTTGTTGTTCCGGGGACGAGGCTCACCTGAACTTGGACGCTGCAGCAGAAGCGGAGCCAGAAGAGGAGGAAGAGGAGGGTGGAGAGAAAGGGGGGGAGGAAGGGTGGTGGTGTTGGTTTGTCTCGGTACCGGAGAGCCTCCAGACTCACAGGCCGGCTAACGATGACGGAGCGGCGGCGTGGAGAGGCTCTACTACCGGAGAGAGGTGAGAGGAGGCATGCGCAAGTGCTGCGGAGAGCAACGTGCCGCCACAGCTCCTGGCTCTCTCTCTCTCTCTCTCTCTCTCTCTCTCTCTCTCTCTCTCTCTCTCTCTCTCTCTCTCTCTCTCTCTCTCTCTCTCTCTCTCTCTCTCTCTCTCTCTCTCTCTCTCTCTCACACACACACACACACACACACACACACACACACGCAACGCACGGGTTGCCTAAACCTCAGGACAATTATTGTACAATATAAAGCTAGTGTGAGTTATGTGCTCCCTAATATGTGTTGTATTTGTTGAAATTCTCTTTAAATCTAGACAATCAATATCAAAGCTCTCACCAAAAAAAAGGTATCAAAATGGAATCTAGACTGTAACACAACTCACCTGCCTGTCTACCTTCACCTGCTCTTCCCATGCATCCATTGCACAGCATCTAATATCAGGAGGCCCTAACACTTTGTTTAAATGTAGGGGTTTAGGGGTGAGGTTTAGAGGCAGTTTGTCCACTTTCTTGCTAGAGTTATTTGAGAATTTTGCTAGATTGCGCTGCTGGCTACTTTCATGTAAAATAAGTTTGCCAAATGGACTGTACTTATATAGCGCTTTATCCAGTCTTTACGACCCCTCAAAGCCCTTTACATATGTCATTCACCCATTCACACCCATTCATACTGAGCAGTGTACCAGGAACTAACATTCATACACACTCACACACCGTTGGCCATCGGGAGCAACTCAGGGTTAAGTATACTTGCCCAAGGATACATCGACATGTTGGCTGCACGGGCTGGGATCGAACCCACAACCTTCTGGTTGAAAGACGACCGCACTCCCTCGCAGCCACAGTCGCCCAAACTGTTCTGGACTGGGAACTTTTTCACAAATCAAGTGTTGTTATGATGGTTTCTCCATGTGTGCTTAATAGTGCTTAATGAGTTGTCAATTAATTGAGTTACATTACATTACTTTTAATTTAGCTGACACTTTTATCCAAAACCACTAACAATAAGTGCAATGAGTCACTAAGATACAAACTCAGATCCACAGCTAAAGTGCAGATATATTCACTTCAAATGAGCCCAACCATTGTAAGGTATGCATTAGTTTAAAAATGGCGCTAATGAGCTGATGATATCGACTTCACGTGCCACTTGTAGGAAACAGTTTTGTTAACCAACTCATAAAATGGTCAAGCTAGGGTCCTATGTGGTCAATTAAAATAAGCAATATACACTGTCAAGTCAATAAAGAGGAAACAGTACATGTGCACCTTATTAAGGTAAAGAAAGGCAGGATGACGGTCGCTGGCCAAATATATAAGAGCGCTAGCCACGGATTACAGATGGATGCACATTAACAGAGGCCTCTTAATGTCTCTTTCATTTCATTTAGAAGAGCCCGAGGTGCCAGTCTCTTCCTCTCCTCCTCTTCACTGTCTTCAGATGGAGGTTATAAGAACCATTTGGGATGACAGTCATATCTCTCTGCTCTGCCTCTGACACTTTTATCACTTGACTCCGGTTCAGACCTTTATACGGTCTATGGTTCAGACGAGCAAAGTCTCCTGCAGTGACCTCCAGCTCCTGCAGCTCCAGCATGACTTTGCCTTTTGCACCTATTGGGTCTCATCTGTTATTCCCATGGGTGGTGACGATGACACTTTTAAATATGTTCTGGAAACTTACTTCAGAGGTTAATGTATAAGGTGCAATTATAAGAAGTTATACAGATTTGATATTGTTGTCAGTCTGGAGGATTGTTATTTGACCTTTACATAAATGAATACTAACATGCATCACAAAATCAATTCACATCAATTCACAAAAGAAATCAGAAATCAGAAACAGGTTTATTAACAGGTGGGTTTATTGACTAGGTTTCGTGGTGCAGGAGCTCTTCCTGGTGAAAGAGTTCGGTGTGCTCATCAGTTATGAGTTAAGACATTACCTCATTCCTGTGTCTGTCATGAAAGCCCATTTCCACCAAAAAACATAGCTTTGAAATGTAAAAGAAATATCCTGTAAGTCATTATTAACCACACATTTTCTATAATGACATAAAAGCTTAAAATAATGAGAAACTAAACCAAAATAATGACTTATAATGCCTCAGTATCTCAAAACGGTCAAAATAACACATTTGTATTATAAAAAAAGGGCTTATCTCAAACTAACAATACACTTTTCATTTCAAGGAATTATGCTAAGAGTTACTTGAGTTACTTGATAATTGATTCATTAGTTCAAAATATATGTTTATTGTTTTCCTGTTTCACTTTTTGCCTGGGAACTAAAACATCTGTTCCTGATTAAGTTGTGTATTTCAATAATATAGCTTGTAACTCTTGATCAGTTGTTACCATTAACAATAATTCCTTTGGTAAATTGCAAGATTGGTTGATGAAAACAAAACTGGCTCATTTAAAATGGCAACTTAAATCACACATTAACCTGAAATTGAGCAAATCAGTGTATTATATTTCTTCAATTACTCGACATGAGACCTATTGTTGTTCTCAATGGGTTGCTTTCCATAGGGAATTGAGATTTTGGACCTCTTTTCGGGAACATATTTCCAGAGGTGCTTTCTGTGTTCAAAGTGAAGGAGAGCTGATGGGGTACAAACAGTCCTGGCCTTAATCCATCTGAAGCTGCAGGGGAAGGAGCGAGTCTGCGGAGGCTTTGAAGTGGCGTTATCGCTCACTTTTTCCTCGCCTACAGTCCTCTCACTGATAACCCCCAAACTGCCCCTGGTGCAGTTTCATTACACTTTATGCTTGTGTGTGTGTGCTGGGCAGAAGAATATTTATGGTTGAGTCATGCAAATGAAGATGAAGGAGAATCCCGGGTGAAATTAGTTGAGGGAAATTTCATAGAGAAGTCATTGAATAATGAGCACTGGGGTCTGACAGAAGAAGGACAAGACTCTTAGCTCTGAAACGAGAATTTAAGTCCAGCTGAGGGATTGATATTGGCAGAGGTCTCAAGGAAGACATTTAATATATAATGAAATATAATGAAACATGTTTCAGTCCATTACCAAGTCCCCTCGATGCCAAACTGAACCCTTTCAACTCTGCGTGTTGGCACCTTTCCCAATGTCACACAAAATCAAGCTTATGAAAACTGCCATCCTAAAATTGTGCTCCACCAAATAACTGCTGACATCATCTATTTCGTTCATGGATATTTGGCCCTTTCTTCCTTAGCGGCGCAATTCAATTTCATGGCCGATCTCACGGGACCAAAGCAATTCACCTTTCTCCTCTCTGCACTGTGCAAAACTGCAGATGAGGGTGTAAACTGCATAAAGTGTTTCAACAGTAATGTAAGTTGAATGTGGAGGCACAGAATCATTTACAAAGAGTCGTCAACGAAAACTTCCTCCTGGACTTTGAAGAGTTTCAGACATTTCTGTTGGTAAGGTTCAACACCATAATCTTCAGACAAATGTAAGGAATGGTAAGAAACTCCCAAATTATAAATCGGCATCCTGCCAGCTCGACCAAGGCTTCAGCCCTTGCCTCAAATAAATTGACTTGTGACATGGACAGTCTCCTGTTATATGCTACATATAACTGTCCCAGAGTCCCAAAACTCCAGAGGCTATGAAAGCTCCATGGAGAAAGTGTCAACTAGTTTGTACACGTTTGCGGAAGTTGATGAAAATGTTCTCGAGGACATGCAAGCAAGATCAATTGCCATGACAAGAGGAAATGTTACCTGACCTCCAAGACCTTCAAGTTAATCGACAGTCTAAGCTGTTGGTGCGTACCCCCTAGAATAAGAAGTATTTTTCTGATGTAACAACATTATTGTTAAGGTATGGTTCGGTTCAAGCACAAAAACAAATAAGTTGCAGACAAGGAATAAACAAAATGTGGAACTTCGTCGTCATTATCATTAAGAAATTAATGAAGGTTGGGGAATATTCTTGGTAAAAAGAAACCAAGGTTGACAGAAGCAGTGTGAACTAAACAACTGTTCCTGAGTTTACGTCCGATGTTTCTTTGACACATTAATCCATCTGCTACCAGCTTGTCGAACACATTATGTGCTCACATCTTATTATGGGTTAACATCGTACATTTTGGTATATTTAAAAGGAATATGGACGTTCTCAAACCGCCGTTGGGAATAAGGCAGCAGCTTATTTCCTTGAGTGGTCCGCATTTAAGTGTTGGCGTCAGGTAGAGGGACTGTCCTAGCAGGGACATAAGGAGGGTAAAGACGTATAGAAAGTGTGTGAGCAGGAGAGAAAGGGAGGTAAACAGCAGCTGTTTTGACGTCAGTCTTTTCTTAGCTTTGCTCTCTTCCTACAAGGACTTGTGCAGGTGCCCAGGGCTGAGGGTGCAAACCCCTCTGATACCTAACAGCAAGGAGACACTGTTGGCCGAGGTGAGGTGACATTTTAGCGCATGTGTGTGACTTTTCATAGCTTGCATGTCCATGTAGCAGAGCTTAAAGTCACTTTCATCCATGCAGGATGTCAGATAAAACCATTCCTGCCTCTATTTCTCAGGTAAGATTGGATAAGGGAGGCGTGTGGTGCAGTGGGTTGTGCGTTGGTGTTCGGGGACCACAGGTTCAAACCCCACTGCAGTCAGCATGTCGTTGTGTCCCTGAGACACTTCACCCCAAATCGCTCCTGTGGGGATTGTCCACAGTATTGAGTATGTAAGTCGCTTTGGATAAAAGCGTCTAACAAGTAACATGTCATGTAATGTAATGTAATGTAATGTAATGTAATGTAATGTAATGTAATGTAATGTAATGTACTGTAATGTAATGTTGCTTAGATTCCCCCCCGATGGACCCATTGATCAGATCCTTCAACGCCCGCTTCATATTGTTGTGGATGATCATTTAGTATTAAGTTGTTGAGCGGTTTGCCGTGTATGAGGGCACATAGTTGCGGGGATGGCGATGCCTATGAAGTCCTCCCTCCTGATTCGTGCTCTAATGGGACATATTCTGGTGAATCAAATTATTGTGAATTAAACTCCCTGTCGGGGAATCCCTTGAGGCCTCCGCTCGG